ATGAATAAATAAAACAAGGCGATACCCAGAATGTGAAGCAACTGTCACCAACTGTCCACAGACACCCCAAGTCACCGGCTAGACAGGCGTGAAAAACAAGACACGTAGCCGAGGCCATCAGTCTATTGACTATTCTTTTTAAATATTTTTTTATTGATTTCCGAGAGGAAGGGAGAGGGCGAGAGAGAGAGAAACATCAACAATGAGAGAGAATCATGGACCGGCTGCCTCCTGCACGCCCCCTACTGGGGATCGAACCCACAACCCAGGTATGTGCCCTTGACCGGGAATCGAACTCTGACCTCCTGGTACACAGGTCGATGCTCTAACCACTGAGCAACACTGGTGACTACTTTTGCATGTCAGTAGCAGCAGCACACCCGTAGGGGGCGCTACTTCCTGGCCAGGATGGCACCGTACGTGCCCGGGGTCCTCTTGCACTGGACGTCCCCGAAGCCGGCCGCAGCCAGGAGAGCCCGGTACTGGCCGGGGGTCCGCTCCCGGCCCTCCGTCTGCACCAGCATGTTCAGCGAGTACAGCTGTGTGGTCAGAGGTCCCCGCCCGTCGGGGTCCAGGAGGCTCTCGACGACCAGGACCCCACCACCTGCCACAGGGAGGGGCGGCGTGAGCGAGGGACCAACAAGACAGGGGCAAAGAAATTAAAATACATTTCTTTGCTTTTCATTTTAATTTAATTTTATTGTTTAAAGTGTGACAAACAGGCCTGGCTGGTGTGGCTCAGTGGATAGAGCGGCGGCCTGCGGACTGAAGGGTCCCGGGTTCGATTCCCGGTCAAGTGCATCTGCCTGGGTTGCGGGCACATCCCCAATAGGGGGCGTGCAGGAGGCAGCTGATCGATGTTTCTAACTATCCCTCACCGTTCCTCTCTGTAAAAAAATCAATAAAATATATTTCTTTAAAAATAAAAAAAATAAAGTATTACCTTTCAGTCCATAGGCCAATGCTCTATCCACTGAGCCACACCGGCCAGGGTCCATGAATAATTCTTTATCCCTTTTTGGCCTCGTCCATTTCTCCTTCGCCGACCCTAACGGTTTCCAAATCTCCATGGACTTTAGGATGATAGGGCCTCAGGGGGCATTCGGGGGGGGGGTCCCCCAGCCCACCCACTGGCTATGCCCATGGCCTCCTGGATCGTCAGATGGATGGATCTCAAGGGACATCCAAGGGTGCGTCCCCCCCCCGCCCCACATACACACAGAGAGAGTGTGTCCAGGTCCCTTGGGCCTCCTGATGGGTGATTGGGCCTCACAGGACCCCTGGAACCGTGGCCCCCCCAACCCCCCACCTACCTGGCTTGCAGGCCTCATAGACTCTCGCCAGCAGGTGAGAGCATCTCTCATCGGGCCAGTCGTGCAGGACCCGGGCCAGGATGTAGAGATCGGCCGCCGGGAGAGGGTCCTTAAAGAAATCGCCTGAAACACAGGGTCGGGGTCCCAGGGTCAGCCCTTGATGCAATCCCGTTGGACCGGAACAATGGAAAGGTCACCTGGGCCCGGCCAGGGTGGGTCAGATGGTTGAGTGGCGACCTAGGAACCAGGAGGTCACAGTTCGATTCCTGGTCAAGGGCACATGCCTGCGTTGTGGGCTGATCCCCAGTAGGGGGCGTGCAGGAGGCGGCCGGTCCATGATTCTTGTCAATGAAAATATGTTTCTATCTCTCTCTCCTTCTATGAAATCAAATCAATCAATCAATCAATAGAAGTCTACATTGCCCAATCAATCAATCAACAGAGTTCCCCATTGCCCAATCAATCAATAGAGTTCTACTACACTGCCCAGCCAGTGAGGCTCAGTGGTTGAGCGTCAAACTGTGAACCAGGAGGTCAGGGTTCGATTCCCAGTCAGGGCACAGGCCCGGGTTGTGGGCTCGATCCCCAGTAGGGGGTGTGCAGGAGGCGGCCGGTCCGTGATTCTCTCTCATCATGGATGTTTCTCTCTCTCCTTCTCCCTTCCTCTGTGAAATCAATTAAAATTAACTTAGATGATAGATAGATAGATACAGATATAGATAGATGATAGATAGATTTAGATATAGATAGATGATGGATAGATAGATATATATATAGATATAGATGATAGATATATATAGATATAGATAGATGATAGATAGATT